CCCCCCCCGCCACGGGCTGGCCGCGAACTTTGCAGGCGCAGCGATGATGCACGCGCGTTTACACAAACACGGCGGTAGTTCGCCCGCGACTGCGTCCGAAGAGAAGACGAAAACGAATACGAGAGAGCGCACGTGTGTCTGACGTCGGCCCGCCTAATAGAGAGACGCGACGATGATGCACCGCCGAGTCGCGGCCCCGCGGATGCAGCCCGGGGCTGTGACCGCAGCTGCGTGCGAGATGGGGGCGGGGGGGGGGCGCATTCCGGTCTGATCGACGTGAGCGTGGCTCGGCTCGGCGCCGTGCGCGGTGTGAGCGACTGAGACCACTGAGACAGTCATAGGCCAATTCCACCAATGCATTCTGTCCGTTTCCATGAGAGCCTGCAACTTGCCATCAAGTTATTGGGGGAGCAAGAAGGAACACGTCAGCTGGAGACCCCCCCGTCCACTTTGGTCGTGATAATTGTAGGCCGTGCGCGCGCGCCTGCCGTGCAGGTCTATGAGGTCCCCGCCCCCGCTTCCCCTGACTCTGCCTAGTTCAGCGGTTCCCAAACTAGGGGTCGCGATCCCAGATGGGGTCGCGAGGAAAAATGTTGGGGTCGCGGCGAGGTGCCTGGGGTCGCCTGGGGTCGCAGCCTCGCTCGGCTGAACCCCTCCTGTTTGAAACTTCTTGGGTCAAAAACGGAAATACCGAACTAGGCCCTAGTTCAGTCTGTAAGTGAGATTATTAAAGTCCGAGTACAGTGTGGCATTTCAATGTTTTCATGCAGTTTGGTGAGCCGTTGCCCGAAGGCCTTTGCCTTGTGGTGCGACGGCTCCATGGGGACCCGGGACCCGTGCGGGTAGGCAACTTGCCAGCACGTCTGCGTTGCGGTACAGTAGTACACCGTATAGCTACCGTAAGGGGCCCCGCGGCGTTTGCGGGGCCCTCAGCTACCGTGGAGTTGCGAGGGTTGGAAACGATTGATCGGTGATAATGTGGAATCGTGTCTCTCCCCAACGCGCGGCTGTCACCTCCAGAAGCCCAAGACCCCGCCGCTGAACGGGCGGGCGGAGGTGTACTAGTGGATGTTGTGCTTCCCCGTTCAGGTCGGTGGCCTTGGCCGGCAGTGTATTGGCTCAGCGTGACGCGGCGGGCGGGGATGGGCGTGGCAACGCGCCGCGGAGTCAGAGGGAAGCTACTCCCGCGCGCTGGCGGGAGGGCGCGGGTGCGTCGACTCCAGCTCGCACGCCCCGGGCCGAATAACGTTCTGTATTTCACAAATCCGAATTGCGATTGCCGTGAAACTATGGTACACTAGATTCACAAGTGTATTTCAACAGTACGAGGGGGACATTGCCAGGGAAACCACACACACACACACAGTCGCGTGCGGCGCCCGTGCCCGCGGTGGTGTAGCGCCGCGGGGCCGGAGGGGTCAGAGGTCAACATGAAGCCGCTCCACCTGCTGCTGCTGCTGGCCGCGGCCGTGCTGGCGGCGCTGTCCCTGCACATCCACGGCCCGGCGGAGGAGCCAGGTGAGGGGCTACGGCTATGGACCTCGGCGACGATCTCGTCCTGGAGAGTGACACCCGACGCGCTCTTTTCAGGCCCCTTGTCCTGGTTGTCACACGGCGGCTCGGTGCGGGGCGCCTGGTGCAGCTCGCAGAGAGGCCGCCGTTTCCGCGCTTTCCAGGGCATCCCTTACGCGCAGGCACCGCAGGGCGAGCTCCGGTTCGCGGTGAGTAAGTAGTGGCAGTAGACGGCTACCTCTGGGCCGTGAACAGCCGCAAATCGAAAAATCGCAAAATCGCCAAAGCGCCAAACCATACCTAATCAACACATCTTCTAATCGCTAACTACACATCCTGGTCTCCCTCGCTCATAGCCGCCTGAGCCTGCCGAACCGTGGCAGGGCGAGCGCGACGCCTCGCGGGAGGGCCCCATCTGCCCACAGCCCAGCGCCGGCCCCTTCCTCTTCACATGCCCGGTGAGGACTGTTGGTAGGAGTTTGTTCGAACAGAGCCAATTTCTCGCCATCTCCAAAAACATCCACTCCCCTTGATTCTCTTCTCTTGTAAACAGAACACAAACTCTAGCTTGCTGTGAGGATAACTCCGGTAAATCAATTCCCATCACGAGGCCCTTTAAATTTTAGTAACACACGTTTTCCTAAATTTCTGAGGAGGAGCTTTATAGGTTTCCCTCTTACTGTAAAATTGCACACCAAAAACATGTTATTACAATTCAAGTAAGGGATCATCCAGAAACTACCTCCAACATTTGCCGTAACGAACCGGCTAAGTTCAGCCTATGCAAGCTCTCGTAGCGCCTGATAGGTAGGCAGTGTGTGGCCTGCGGCGCATGTGTGTATTGCGGGGTGGCCTACCCCGAGTCTCACAGGCGCTGAGTTAATGTTACTTACCAGATGAACTTGAAGAAGAAAAAAAGAAGAAAAAAATGAGTACTTTCTGGACGATCCATAGCGCGAAAGCGCCCGCCTGGGCCACGGACCCCTGATCGATCACACTGAACCACATTCGGGATCGAGCAGGCCAGGTGAACCCATTCGCACACCTGCACCTACACTGTAATTTGGGGTGTCTCAAATGTATACGCCAAAAGGCGTATGCTACAGGATCCCGAGAAACATTTGGCGTATACTTTTGAGACATCTTTTGGCGTATAGATTCTAGACGCCTTTGCCCATACCATTCCCACAGCACAGCAGAGGCCCTTTGGTAATACACCCTGAAAGGCGCTCACGTCCTGTACATCCTCACTCCTGCATGCTGCTCAAATCTAGGGCTGTGCCATGGGGGAAGTACGGGCAAAGATGTCTACACTGTTAGAAATCCTGTGCTAAATCATTGCTAAGACCACAGAACTGGAACCACACCTAAAACACAGTGCG